GACCATTTCGAGACTCCTCATTATGTCGTGATCACATCCGGGACTCCGAACTACCTTCGGTACATCAAAACACATAAACTCATAATATAACCGTCATCGAACTTTAAGCGTGCGGACCCTATGGGTTCGAGAACTATGTAGACATGACCGAGACACGTCTCCGGTCAATAACCAATAGCGGAACCTGGATGCTCATATTGGCTCCCACATATTCTACGAAGATCTTTTATCGGTCAAATCGCATAACAACATACGTAGTTCCCTTTGTCATCGGTATGTTACTTGTCCGAGATTCGATTGTCGGTATCTCAATACCTAGTTCAATCTCGTTACGGGCAAGTCTCTTTACTCGTTATGTAATGCATCATCCCGCAACTAAACTCATTAGTCACATTGCTTGCAAGGCTTATAGTGATGTGCATTACCGAGAGGGCCCAGAGATACCTCTCCGACAATCGGAGTGTCAAATCCTAATCTCGAAATACGCCAACTCAACAAGTACCTTCGGAGACACCTGTAGAGCTCCTTTATAACCACCCAGTTACATTGTGACGTTTGGTAGAACACAAAGTGTTCCTCCGGTAAACGGGAGTTGCATAATCTCATAGTCATAGGAACATGTATAAGTCATGAAGAAAGCAATAGCAACATACTAAACGATCAAGTGCTAAGCTAACGGAATGGGTCAAGTCAATCACATCATTCTCTAATGATGTGATCCCGTTAATCAAATGACAACTCATGTCTATGGCTAGGAAACTTAACCATCTTTGATACAATGAGCTAGTCAAGTAGAGGCATACTAGTGACACTTTGTTTGTCTATGTATTCACACATGTACTAAGTTTCCGGTTAATACAATTCTAGCATGAATAATAAATATTTTCATGAAATAAGGAAATAAATAATAACTTTATTATTGCCTCTAGGGCATATTTCCTTCACCCGCCATACCTTGGTTTTTGGCAAAAACAATTTATAACTATGTACCTATTGCTTTTGTACCTGGACACCGGCTCGAGCCTCGTCCGTAACCAGCGGTGGCCTGATGAGCCTCTGCATGGAGCACCCACGTAGTATACCTAAAAAAGAAACAAACGCCCACACACAGACCGACGCGACCAAACCTAGTGCGGTGGCGGCGGCTGGCCAGGTCGCGAGGAACAGGCGGGCGCGACGACGGGGCAGCCGATAGCGGGAGTGGGTTGTGGGCTTGGAGGGCTGCGGCACAACGGTGGCTTCAGTGGTGCAGCAAGCGGCGGCTTCTGCGGCGGCTCTGGCGACCGACTGCAACAGTCAGGGTCGGGGATTTTCTTGGTAATCCCTAGGGTCCGAACACTGAACTTTGTTGGGTATTGGCATTTCTGCTTCTGTCAATTCTCCATGATGTGAACCATCACAGTAATTATGAATAAAATAGATGAAAATTTATGTAGTAACCTTGTACAATAGGGTGGAAAGCTTTTTTATATTCATTCATGCTAGTGTACTGTAGTGGCGATTTGAATAGGTATTTTGAAGTGATTGGTAGTGGCAGCAGCTCAAAAACGAACCCAATCACCCCTGAAAGTGTCAATATTTCGGCAAATGTCAATCATCAAGATCAAGTGACTTCCATGGAAGTAGATCATGAAAATTTGATGCCAACCGAACAAGTGGAAGAACAAACTACAGATTTCGTCGAAGCTATAGTGGAAGAGAATGTTGAAGTTCACGGGGTTGAAGGTATAACTATTTTTAGTGAAGATTACATAAATGGTGATCAAGGACTTCACATTCCACTTGATAGTTTTGCCCCCAACATTATAGATGATGTCATATTTGCTTATATACGAATGGGTGCAACTCAACCAACTAGTTGCACTTTCCAATACCAAGTATGGATGACATCTTTACAAAGTGGGGGTAAATCAAGAAAAGGTGGATGAAACAATGTCACGGTTGATCATTTTTTTGTGTGTGGACACCTTCTATGCTGCTATAGACTCAATCACCATGGAGTTTGATCATCGTTTTAATGAGGTATCTTCAGATCTGCTCCAGAACTTCTCTTGTCTTGACCCAAGAAATTCATTTTCTAGGTTCAACCTGAATACGCTTGCTAGGCTCATAGAGATTTATCATGATGATTTCTCTTACTATGAACATGAACATACAGAAGATAACCTTGATCTATTCATTATCCATATGAGAAGAATTGAAGACTTTAGAGCTTGTCATGATATTGCGAGCCTAGCTAAAATGATGGTTGAACTTGAAATGCATGTCATGTTTCCTACTATATATCGCCTCATTGAATTGCCATTGCTACTACCAGAAGCAACGACAACTGTTAAAAGGGCCTTCTCATCAATGAAAATCATCAAGACTGAGTTGCGCAGCAAGATGACCGATGGTTGACTTAATGACTTGATGGTTTGTTATATTGAGCGAGAGATCTTCAAAAATATCGATCTTGGTAAAATTAAGCAAGATTTTCAGAATGAGGGTAGGGCATTGCTATTGCCTGGGTCTTCTAGACGTCATTGAAAGCTTCATTATCGGTATGTTTTAGGTTGTTTTCCTATTGAAACATGCCTACATTTTCAGTGTATTTGGTTTTTGGTTGGAATGTGTATTGACTCTTTCGATTTGCATCAAAAGAATTCTTTCCTTAAGACTTCTCCACACCTTAATTTTCTCCGTCCATTTTTTTCACACAGTCAGACTAGACGGCGAATTCAGCTACTGTTACAGATAAGCTCTGCCTGGTGCTCAACCTCTGCACGCTGTCCCTACACCCTCTGATCTCTCTCATCCACCGACGCCACCGCACCCATGGATGTCGTGGGTGCAGCGTCCTGGCTAGTCCAGGTCATCCTGGAGAAGCTCGTCAGGGACGGCATCAACGCCGCTTGGGCCGTCGCGCGCTCCGCCGACCCCGATATGGGTCCTGGAGGCGACGTCCATCGCCTCCGCTCCGGCCTGCAAAGCCTCCATCTTGTCCTCTTTGCAGCTCAGGATCGCGTACCCAGGGCGCGTAGCGAGGCCCTGCTCGGCTCCCTTCGTCGTCTTCACAGGCTCGCCTGCGACGTAGATAACCTGCTCGACGAAATGCTCTACCGCCAGGTCATATAACTCGATGACGGTGATAACCTTGTCTTGCTTGTCTGTTTGGCAAAAATAGAAGGGAACTTTTCTTCCTAGATGTTGATCAGGACCAGATACAGCAAGTCATTAAATTATTTTATAGTAAAAACAACACATTTCGTGCATGCATTCTTGAAAAAGGAAAAGAAACTATGTATAACACGAACGAATTGCATGCAAGGTGGAATAACATAGTCATGACCACACATGAGCATTGGATGATCTTGGCATGCGGTGTATATATACAGCCCATGGCAAAGTGTCTTCGTTCCTCAAGTACCAAGCAGTAGCAAGTCAGCAGGCTATATGTTAAAATGAAAGCATGCAGTCCTAGACCATAAGACCTTAGTGGAATTGCAATAATTAGCTATGTTCAATGGCTGTGAGACGTTGGAGCGAAACAAATAAGCCTACTATTTTTCTATTATTTTTTATTTAATTAACATGGGTGTAATGCACAACCGTTCCATGAGAGGAAATGGCACATCGACATGTTCTCGATTAACCTTACGCGTGTGTGAAACTCCTCTATGACCGCTAAGCGAAACTGGTTCATGTCATCCTTTGAGTTGGCGCCTGTTTAATTCTTTTTCCAGTGACCCCTCACCTTTGAATTTTAGGATTTTTAAAACCCATGCATAGAAAAAGCACTTGAATCCTGTGTCGTGTCATTTGTAAATACCACTGTAGACGACTGCAAGCGCGTGTGATTGTATACATGAAAACATAGAATTTCTTTATATACGGTTTGGAGTGGATAAAAAATATCCTACCAAATGGCATACAAATAAATTCGACTCCCTCCCTCCAGAAAAATTTGTCAGAGAAATGTTAAAAATAAAAATATTTAAAATTAAAATACGTCTAAATATATCAATTTCTCTGACAAAGTATTTTCGGACAGAGTGAGTGTATGAATTGCAGTCCTATGAAGTAAAGAAAATCTTAAAGATCAGAGTGCTCCATTCATTAAGCTCCTTCAACGAGCTCTTTGCCAAAAGTAAAATGAAAGTCGCCGTCGTGAAGGTCTCGTCCACCGGTAGCCAGTCGAAGTTCCTTATCGCCATAGATCTCTACATCCTCGGACCTCTCTCGTCCACCACCGCGGCATCCTGGCTGGTCCAGGTCGTCCTGGAGAAGCTCGTCAGCGACGGCCTTGACGCGGCCTGGGCCGCCGCGCGCGCGGCCGACCCCAACCCCGACCCCGGAGGCGACGTCCACCGGCTCCGCTCCCGCCTGAAAGGCCTCCACCTCGTCCTCTCCGCAGCCCAGGAGCGCGTGCCCAGGGCGCGAAGCGAGGCCCTGCTCGGCTCCCTCCGCCGCCTCCACGGGCTCGCCAGCGACGCCGACAACCTGCTCGACGAAATGCTCTACCACCAGATCCACCGCCAGCTCCATCCGGACGAGGCTAGTGACACTTCCTCCTCCTCGTCGTTCGTCTCCAGGATCCGTGGTGCTAAAAGGGCGCGAGTTGGTGGACACGAGGATGCCACCGCTACTGTTCGGATTGACGAGATCTTGAAGCGAATCTGTGAAGCTGGAGATGATGTTCGTGAGGCGCTCAAGATGGAGAAGCTGGACGCTCTTGTCACCTGCGGAGGTCAGGATGCCGGTATGGATCGCCGCGGCCCGACAACAACTTTTGTTACAGAGCCAAAGATCTTTGGGAGGGATGCCGTCAAGGAGCACATTGTCGAGACGCTGGTGAGTGCTGAGGCTTGTGGTGTTAATTTGTCGGTCCTTTCGATTGTTGGCAATGGCGGTGTTGGAAAAACTACTCTAGCACAGCTCGTTTACAATGACGCAAGAGTGCAAGCTTGATATGGATCTCGGTGTCTGCCGACTTTGATGAAGTAAGGCTCACTCGTGAGATGCTGGACTGCGTGTCAACTGGTGTGAGCAAGCATCAAGGAATCACAAACCTGAATAAACTGCAAGAGATTCTTGATGACGATTTGAAGTCGAAGCGCCTGCTCCTTGTTTTGGATGATATGTGGGAAGACAAGGATAAAAGCCGCTGGGACAAGCTGTTAGCACCACTAAGATGTTCGATCAATGGCAATGTGATCCTGGTCACAACAAGAAATCACTCAGTTGTAAAAATGATTTCTACTATGGACTCTATCCATTTAGATGGCCTGAAAGATGATGACTTTTGGCTTATGTTCAAATCATGCGCATTTGGTGATCAGAAATATGAAGGACACCCAAGCTTACTGGTTATTGGGAAGAGGATAGCCAACAAGTTGAAGGGTTACCCCTTAGCTGCAAAAAGTGTTGGCGCCCTGTTGAGAAGAGACCTTGATGGTGGCCACTGGATGTCAATTTTGCAAAGTGATGAATGGAAGCTACAGCAAGGGCCGGATGATATCATCCCAGCATTGAAACTTAGTTTCACACACTTGCCTTTCCGTCTTCAAAGGTGTTTTTCTTATTGTGCACTATTTCCCAAGGGTCACATGTTTGATGGGCTGGACTTGGTTCGCATTTGGATATCACAAGGTCTTATTTCTTCTGGAAGTAAGAGAATGGAGGAGACTGGTTATCATTACCTGAATGATTTAGTGGACCGAGGCTTTTTCCAAAAAAGTACATACTATTCTATGCATGATCTGATTCATGACCTGGCACATATAGTTTCTTTAGAAGAATGCCACATGATGGACAATTTTGATTCAGGAAATGGAATAGATCACGCAATTATCCGACACCTATCTATCAATACAAGATCTGCTTATAAGTGGAACCCACATGCCTGCAATTTTTCTCCCAGTGATAACTTTCAGAGAAAGCTGGCTTACATTGGTGAAAAAGTGCAGACCAAAAATTTGAGTACCTTAATGCTATTTGGAAAGTATGACAAAGAGTTTTCCGAAACTTTTTCCAAGGTATTCAAAGAAGTGCGGTATCTTCGCGTTTTGAGGTTGCCCACACTAAGTTATAGCATAGACTCTCTAATCTGTAACTTCAGCAAGTTAATCCATCTTCGCTACCTCGAACTAATATCCAGTGTTCCCGGCACACCCTTGCCAGAGGTTATATGCCAACTTTATCACCTCCAGGTTCTTGATGTAGAATACTGGGTGCACCTTTCTACTTTACCACATGGGATTAGTAATCTTGTAAATCTGAGGCATTTTGTTGCTCGAGGTGAATTGCATGCAAAGATTGCTGGAGTTGGGAGGCTAAAGTTGCTCCAAGAGCTGAAGGAATTTCGAGTGGGAAAGACAAAAGACTTTCAGATTGAACAGTTAAACGGGTTAAGAGAATTGGGAGGATCACTTGCAATTTACAATCTGGAGAATGTGGAAAGCAGGGAGGAGTCTATGAATGCTGGATTAAGGGACAAAATATACATCCATGATTTGCTGCTATCATGGTGTAAGAAACGGTTTGATGTGAGTTCTATAACTGAGGCACAGGTGCTTGAGGGTCTTCATCCACATTGCGGGCTTAAGCGCCTTCATATAACTAGTTATGGAGGTATTTATTCCCCAACATGGTTGAGCTCCAATTCTCCGCTCACCAGCTTAGAGTCTATCTATCTGGAGAATTGCACAAAATGGGAGTTACTTCCGCCATTTGGGCAATTTCCACTCCTTAAAACACTGCATTTGGTTCAGTTGTCTGCTTCAACAGAAGTACCAATTATGTCCCGCGATGATTGGGCTGAATCTGAAAAGCATGTCCTTTTTCCATGTCTAGAAGAACTTGTCATAAGAGATTGCCCTAAACTAAGGTCATTTGCATCACCGCAATCTTCTTCCAGTGGCAATGGCTTTCACTTCGGCTGTCTCCGTCGTGTCAACATCTACAATTGTCCTCAGCTTATTCACTTACCCCAGTTTGGTGAGATGAAATCTCTATTCACAATGTCTATTGAGGGAGTAGGAGCATTTCCTCACATCAGATTGCTTGTGCGAGCATTGCATATCAAGGGGGGTGCTAGTGTGAGAACCTTGGATGAGGTATTAGTATTAGTTTTGACGGACTGCAGACTTAGTGCTCTTGAGAAATTAACAATTTCAAGCTTCCTGGATTTTGCATGTCTGCCATGGGAAATTTTCTGTCAACTTCTCTCCTTAGAAATGCTGGTAATTATGGACTGCCCAAGGTTTTTCCTGCCTGCATATCCGTATGGCCAACAAGGTGAAAATATCTTCTCACCATTGCTCAAGAAGCTTGTCATCAAAGCATGTGGTATCACTGGGAAGCAGTTATCTGACTTGTTGTTGCAATTGCCCCTCCTTTATTTCTTGACTATTAGAAAGTGTCCAAAAATAGCATCCTTGGCAATTGGTGGTCTGATTGCTGGGAATGTGAGCTCCACAACATCTGACAACCACGACTGGACAACTGATGACTTGTTGCAAATCCCATCTGATCTCTTAAATCGACTTCAGTATTTGTGCATAGAGGACATCCCAGATCTGGTTCTCCGGGGCAGTGAAAGTTTTCTTGGATTTGTGTCACTCAAAACACTACATATAACAGGATGCCCTGAGTTTTTCATCTCCATAATGACAGAAAAGGAGAAATCTAGTGGCAGCTGCCCCCTTCTACCACCATCGCTACAAGACCTTCTGGTTACTCACATGGATAACAAGTTGCTAACCTCCATGCTTTCTAATCTCACCTCGTTGTCCATCTTGTCGGTATCATGGAGTCCAGAGCTAACATCTGTTGCTCTTCATCCTTGCTCATCTTTAGAAACATTGATTGTCGAGAAATGTTCTAGGTTATTTGTTCTGGACGGTACGGGGTCCCTCTGCAGTATCAAGCACATGCGGATATTTGAATGCCCTAGTTTGGCCATAAATTGCGGCCCTTCTTCATCACATGGACAGGACCAGGATATGTCCTTTTTACTGCATCTGGAAAAGCTTGAGATCGATAACGCTTCATTCTTTAACACGGCAATTTGCAAGAGCCTCCCCTCTCTCCAACATGTAGTGTTTTTCATGGTAATAACGAATAATATTTGCATTGATGTTTCAAACCTACTCAATATGGAATGGTTTCTCATGCCCTCATTCTCTGCAGGCAAAGAATGTGAGATACTTCACAGAAGAACAAGACAAAGCACTTTGTCACCTAACATCTCTTCATACTCTTGATTTTTGCTATTGCACTGATCTCCTATCGCTGCCTAAGGAGCTGCATCTTCTTTCCTCCGTCAAGAGATTATCGATTAAGGCTTGTCCAGGAATTCTCTCATTGCCAGAAAAGGGCCTGCCAGCTTCCCTACAGGAGTTGTATGTGAGCAACTGCAGTACAGAACTAAAGGAACAATGCAGGAAGACGAAAAATGTTAGATGTGTTTATGTTGACAGACATGCAGGCAAATTCATAAGTATATGCAAGATGTTACGGCTGTATTTTAGGTACTATTTCCTAATCTTATTTATTTATTTATTGTATTTATACACACAGAATCTTATTGTTACTGAATAACCAGTAATAATGCTGACCGAAGTTTATTTTTTTGCTGGCTTAATTCATTGACAGGAACCAGAAAAGATGAGGGTCCATTCTGATGGAAATTACAATTTGTCGAGCTACTAAATCCATGTGGTGATTTGTTGTTTTTTTCATCCAAGTGGCAGAAACATCTCTCTGATGAAAGTCTGGAAGTGAAGGTGGTTTCAAGAGGACCCTGTCCAGATTCGGAAATACTCATGGGAGGCTTGCATCAGGCTTCTAAAAGATTTCTCTTCTGGAAGTAGTGATTTCTGGTTGGTTGGCTTGCAGGCCACCAGATCAGGCTAGAGGAGAACCAGAAACTTGCTTTCTCATAGCTGACAGGGTTCTAATCAGCAACTATTTCTGTTGGTCATGTCCGCCAGAAGATGAGGTGTTGCAAAGGTTAAATTCTTTCCCTACGTGCACAGGTGGGTGGTCACCAAACTAGGTTTTTTCCTTGAGAATTCCAAGCTAGGTTATTGGAGATGTCACCAAGTCATGATCCAGAGCTAAGTATAGATAGTGTCGGTCGTGGAAATTGCACTGAAGAAAGAAAAAAAATGCAAGGGAAGTAAAATCTTAGAGCTACTGATGAGTTGGGCATGTCCATAGCAGAGAAGCAAACCTTCTGTGCCCACTATGCTATTTAGAGATGTCAACAGTTTATCTTAGAGTTACTGATAAGTTTATCTTTAACGTCATTTCTCGCCATTTTATACAGCTTGTCCATATTATTTTGTTTGTTCAAAAGGTTGGCATGTTCCAGTATTGTTCAAGCTGCTGCCAGTAAAATATGTCCACAAAGATCAAGTCACAACAGTAGATGTGACTCTGCTCATTGACTTGTGCGGGCACAATTTTTCTTTGATGCACAAACAAACAGGTTCTTTGAGACGCCCTTTATTAACTTTGCTACGTTTAGGAGGTTTGGCTTGAAGCTGGTGTGTGTGCAATGGTTGAGTGAAGTTGGTAGTGGTACATAATTATCTGAAATGTTGGATGATTCGGCAAACTATCCTCGCCTGGCTTCAAAAGTTGCAAGCTAACTTATACTTTGTCCTGAACATGATCAGACACTTGTACACATTTGGATGTTACCCTTCAAAAGTTATTCAGGCTAAAAAATTGGCTGAGCTCGGGTTGTTTCTTGGCAGTATGTCAGGCATGTCACCGCTAGCGGTCTAAAAGCATTGTCTATCTGTGTGTGGCTTGTGTAACAGTTTGCTCACCTTTTGTTTTACAGTTTTAGTCAAATCTCGTGACACTTACCAAGATGATCCTGCAAACTTTGGAACTTGTAACAAAAATAACAACAGATGTAATTACAAATAAGCAGTAGAGGATGCAGTATAAGTGGCACAGTCAGCCAGTTTGATCCTTCTGTTACAATTGACTGACTCCGAGCTGGATTCTCTAAACCTGTTACGATTGCAACTAAAACACGCCAAGGATTGAAGTGTGCTTTGGTCTGCTTCTTAGATGTCTCTGCTTTTGTTAGCGAAGGCGCAATGGAGCAGTTCTCTGTATCTATATGTAGGCGTTGAGATCACCTGCAGTAGCGATGCCGGTGCTCCGCCTGCGCCCCTACCATGGGGGTGCGTTGCCCGAGCCGGTGGTGGCGCCGTGGAGATTTGGGGAGGGCTCGACAGGGAGCTCTCCACCGGCCGCAGCGCTGATCCATGGTGGGTTGCGAGAGGGAAACGAGGTGAGCTTTTTTTTTTTTTAAAAAAAAGGGGTCAAAATGAGATATTTTTTTTGAGGGCTTGCTCGGTGTGAGCCTCATCGTGGGCTGCTACGGCCTTGTGTGGCTGGGTGGGTCATTTCTGTCTGGGTGTCCAGGACATGAGGCGGGATCCTATTTCTCGCACATGTCGACGGGTAGTCAGGTAACGCGTACCCCTCTGTGCCTTGCTAGGTAAGATTGGGCCGGAACCTTCCTAGACCGTTTTCCAGTGTTTCTTTCGTTTTTCCTCTTTTAGTTTAGCCAGTTTAGCCTTTTCTTTTCTTTTTTAATTTTAATTTTTTATTTTGTTTCCTTATTTATTTTCAAATTCATGAATCCTTTTTCAATTCGATGATCATTTTCTAATGCAAGAATATATTTTGAATTTGACATTTTTTTAATCATGGAAATTTCAATTTCATGGACAAGTTCTCAAATTCGTAAACATTTTTTATCTTGCGAACATTTTTTGTATTGGCAAAGAGCAAAGTTATGCCTATGCGGAGGAAAAGAATAGAAAATCGAAGCGATCAAAATAGTGATAAAAAAAACTATAGCAATGACTATATCTACACAAACCATCTTTTAACATCACAAGAAATGTTCTCCAATAGCAACGCCTTAAGAAAAGAAACACTGCTCAGCGTTGCCATCTCTGGATCCAACCACCGAAGGCCAGATCCTAGGTTTTCACCCTAAAGATTATGTCTAAGCAAATTCGAACAATGACGACGTCAGAATACCATCATTGTCAGATATAACCAACTAGGATCACACATAGAGTTTTCACCCGGAGCTCAAGACCGGGTATTCGAGAAGGACATCAAATCAAAGTCAACATGTATTGTCGCCACCATTTTCCACGACCCCAACAGCAAATGCGCATCACAGTCTTGACGTCACATGCCATGCAAACGAAGACTGTGCACGCATAAGCAGACAGTCAAACCGCGACAAGAGCCGGTCACTGCCAAAGACTATGAGTAATGAACTCGTCGTCGCACACGGATGGAGATTGATGAGGGAGGAAGCTCGCTGGCACCTAACTGGATAGACGACAAATACAGCTGCAGAAAATTCGAAACACGGGGAGCAGCTTGGAATGCACGCTTGAGACTTGGAACGTTTAGTGAATCAGGAAGTCGGGCTGAGCAGGTTTTGGAGTCAAGTGCTGTCACCATTCCTCCACTCGTTTCTTTGTCTCCAGTTGAAGAAATTCTGCTATCTGCTACCGTCTGGAGAACAGCTCGCAACGCAGCTAGCCAACTTGCTGAGACTAAGCAGCCAGGAAGCCAGGCCGAGCACGTGATACTTGTCCAGGATTGGTCGTTCACGACCCTAAATATATGTGCATCTCACGCAGGAAATTAGGGAGTCATGCGGCAGCTAGATTAGAGCCCAAATCAGAGGCCGTTAGGAGTCATGCATGTACACAGTTATTCTTGACAGAAACACTGCAGATTAGTTTGAATAATAATGAGGACTAAACACAACTAAGAAATGCGCTCCAATTAATCTCCTGTTATATCTATGCAGAACTGTTATGCATAGACTTGTCTCTGTCCTCGGTTGATCAGTAGCAAAACTGGTTCAGTGAATGAAATAGAAGGAACGGTATCTGTACTCTATGGTCCTGATTTTGTGAACCAATTAATTGATGGCATTACGAAAAAGGGTTTCCCCGCGCTTTATATTATAAAGCACAAACACAACATCGAAGCATCCGATACAAACGCACGCCACACAAACCCAAGGCAAGATACACGAATGCCGGGCACCGATACACAACCTCATCGACACAAAGCATCAAAAAGATGAGCAAAAAGGATCCGCTAAGAGCCGACGGAGACCACCACCACAAGGAGCGACCGTCCGGGAGGATGTGCGCCGGACATGCCGGACCGAGGACTCCAAGACGGTGCCTCCAGGAAGGGCACGAGCACGAACGTCGCCACCGTCCTATCCGAAGATCAAGTTTTCACCCGGAGTAAGATGGAGGGAGTAGACGCACCACGACGGAGCTTGCAAGGAGGAACATGACGTCCACGGACGCCGTCACCGTCGACCAGAGTGGGACTGGGTAGGTGATGTACCCCGGTGCTTCAACTCCCTCGCCGTCACCCTGGCCCGCCGCCCGAGCGGCCATGGTTGCCTGCCCGCATCCCAGCCGCACAATCCGCCCACGACCAACGCGACTCCTACCGCCAGAGCCGCCGCCCCGCCATGAGACCACCCTGAAGACACCAAAGGCCACGACTTTGCCCAGATCCACGACCGCAACCACCTCCAGATCCGCCGGCGGCCAAGATGCCTCAAGAAGGGCCGCCACCACATCGATAGGGGGAAGGGGAAAGCGGAGAAGTGGCCCATGGCCACGACTGACGCCCGTGTCGGCTCCAACTTCCCCCCGGAACCGTGTTCCACCCCCACTTCAAAGGCCTAGAGCATCAGAAGGCATCGACCGTCGCCAGAAGCCGGAGAGGGGGGTTGCCGAGCAGTCGCCACTACCGCCGCCTGAAGATGCCACCAGGGGATCCTCTCGAGCCGAGCGTCGCCACCCAGTTGCGAGGGACCGACTGGGTGGGAGAAGCCCACCACCTCCGCTGCCGTTCCGCCCCCCTCTCCAATGCACCATGACGAGAGGGCCGCCCGCGACCCGGTCAACCGCGACCTGCGGCGCCGGACGCGACACCGAGGCGCTGCCGGAAGCACCGCTACTGTCATGGAATAGTCACGGCAAATGTCCTAGTGTGAGGACTTAGTCGTGGATTCATCGCAACTAGGTTAGCTTAAAGAGGTTAAACGGGACAAAGGACACAGGAGTTTATACTGGTTCGGCCCCTTGCGGTGAAGGTAAATGTCTAATCCAGTTTGAGGTGGTATTTCTTATGTCTCGACTACCAGGGAGCGAATCCGCTTGACCTAGCTTTCGATCTGTTGTTTCTTGCCCTGAACCGCCGTCGGGTCGTCCCTTTATATACACAGGTTGACGCCCAGCGGCTCACGGAGTCCCGGCTGGCTCATAGACAACGTGTCCGGCTCGGTGACTATCTATACATGCCTTACAATACAAGTCTTACACATATGGCGGTTTACTCCTACGGGCCTTAAGTCGCCCTTGGGCCTTGGGCCCTTGCCTTTGAACCGCCATCTTCAATATCCTCGTGGGCTTCATATCATGAATCTCCATAGGTATAACCCGACCCCTCCTGGGCGGGTCATACCTAGTAGTTATATCCCCAACATTAGGCCCCAAGTTGATTTGAACAGATTCATGTCAATCTTCAACACTTAGAAAAAATCTTCCCTTCTTCCTTTGTGCAATAACTCATAACCCG